GTGATGGGTTTGTCATTTTTGCATCTGATGGACTTTGGGAAAATTTGACAAACCAGCAGGCTGTCGATATTGTCAATAAACATCAGCGAGCAGTAAGTGCTTTTCTTTCATCTCAGTGCCAACTCTTTGCTATTTTCACCTTTTGTTGTTGTTTCACCTTTCCTGATCTGTTTAAAAAATGTTAGGGAATTGCAAGAAAACTTATCAAAAGAGCTCTAAAAGAGGCCGCAAAGAAGAGGCAGATGAACTTTGATGAGCTACTGAGGGTTCCAGATGCAACAAGGAGGAATTTCCATGATGATATCACAGTTGTTGTCATCTTTGTAGACCATGACTTGCTTGAAAAGGGGGCACCTGTACCATAGCTTTCAGCACGTGGATTTGGTGAAGTAAAGGTCTACCATCCGATGTAATACTAGTCACTAGACATGATCCGTTGAGATCTGCAAGCCTTTTTTGTGATAGATGAATGTTGATATCTCGGCTTTTCAATTTGCTTTTATTCCCTTTCAAAGTAAGCTAGAGCCTGCATCAAACATTGAGGCTTTTTTCTCTCATATTAGGTATTCATTCTTTTGGTATACTCTGTAACAAGTACTCTGAATACTCGGAGTGACGATCAGCTACTAAGAAAGCTGTGAGTTTTCTTTTGCAATTCTTCTTTGTCTTCAGCTCCATGTTTGACTACAAACAGTTTTTGCTGAGTGCTAACCCAATTAGAAAGCATGAGTGCTATATGATCATAACTTATATTTAACAAAATCAACTAATCCTTTGAAATGACACTTCTCTTTTAGCTCTAAATTGAATAATCAAAGGATGTCTCAACACTAGATAACATCCATATTTGTCACCAATAAAAAAAAAAAATGTTCCCTATTGCGTAATGAGAAAAAGCTAGTGTCCTTAATTAACGCCTTTGCTTCCACACTTCCATTTCAATCTTTTTCTTTGGAAATGAATTGGCCAAATAATTTATGTAATAATTATGTGTATCTTACTCATTAAAATTAACGAAATTGGTTGAGGGTAGTTTTGGTTGAAAAAAAGTTGAGGGCATGGTGTAGAATACTTCATATGGTATTTTTTTTTTATTATCTTAATTCTTTAATTTTATGTACTTTAACACGGTGATTTAACTAATTAAGAGTTTGAAATTTTAAGTTAAATATTTTAATTTAAATTTTTAATTAAGTGAAGAGAAATTTATAAAAATAAGAGTTATTTTTTTTTATATAACTTTATCATCATATATTAAAAAAATCATTTAATTTTATGTATATTAACTTAATGACTTTATATAGAGTAAATAAATAATAGTTTTTTCTAACAGCGCAAATAAATAATTGTTGAAATTTTTTTTTAAAAAGAATTTTTTCAAAAAAAATTTTCAATTATCATATATATTCTATATAAAATCATTTAATCATACTTTATGAAAAATTTAAAATACTGATAAATAAACTTGACCAGATGGAGTAATATTTATCCAAAAAGAAATTAGTAATCTACAATTAGTGGTAAACTTTTGCAAGTAGGAGTCCTTATCATTCCTAGTTCCCCAAAAATATACAGTAACTAAAAGTGAAAGGAAAAAAAAAAAGGAAATGATTCCGGCATGATTATATATTGAATGAGCTCGTAAGTTATGTCAAACAAAACAATTACTATCTTTCTATTGTCATAGGTCATAGCTATTACTGAGATCATGAAGTGTCATTATGTACTAGTAATAAGCTGCATTCTTAAATTCCCTAAATAGATATTTTTTTAATGTAAAAATTTAAACAGAGATAGAATCCGAATTTTTTTTATTTCAAACATATTTGAAATTAGCTTACCTTCTTGAATAGTACTTTCTTTTATGTTTTTTTTTTTTTTTATTTTCTTCATCTAAGAAAAGAACAGCCTACATAGTCTAGCTTACCATCTTGCTCCCTTTATTTTATATTTTGTAATCTCTAGTCATCATGTGAGCACAGATTTTATTGTAACCTTGGCTTCCTTTACTTCATCTTGTTTGTGTTGGATGCTTTTAGTCCTTTAACTGATTCATTTTAGAATGCATTTGTGTATCATTCACCAGGGCTTGCTTTTGAAAATGGAAGCATTTCTGAAGATATTGTTTAAAATGCTGTTATTGAAACCGATACTGGATTTCTTGATCATGTACGTCAGATATATCCTAGAAATCCGGAAATTGCAGCTGTTGGTTCTTGTTGTCTGGTTGGAGTTATATGGAAAAAACATTGTATGTTGCAAATGTGGGGAATTCTCATGCTGTAATAGGTTTTTTGGATGCAACGGGGAAGATGGTTGCTGAGCAGTTGACTACAGATCACAATGTAAGTTTTCAAGAAATCAGAGAAGTCAATTCTTCAAATCCAGATAGACTTGAGGTTAGTTCTTACAAATTTCTTCTCATCACAGTCCCCCTCTCCAA